ACCCTTTTTTCACTAAAACTAGTAAAAATAATTAATTTAATACATATAAAAAATAGGAGGCACTAAATGTATCACTGAAATCAGGGTTCATAGCCACATTTTAGTTAAAAAAATAAGCACCTATAAGCACTTTTCAAGCACATTTTAAGAAAAAAAATAAACACCTGTCTAATTACATTATACACAACTGCATAACCTTAAAAATTAGACTTGCAATTTAAAATATGAGCAATGCAATATTTATTAAGAGAATGAGCATTACCTCAAACATGGAAAACAACTTTAAAAAAAAAATTAAATGACAGTTCAATTTACAGAATTAGTTGAGAAAAAAAAAAAAAAAAAAACTATGCAGAACTAAACTATGTTACAAGATTTAATGATCAGTTCAAAATATAGAAAATAAAAAATAATAATAAGCCATATTAATTGTATTCTCTTGGCACCTAATAATAAATACAATTTACTTTCCAACTCATATTAATATTTAAATAATTTAACTTAAAATTCTGAACATTTTCTAAATTTTCATTGCATAACAGTTTTCCCTTAACATTATTCGGTATTCGTTACTTCTGTACCGAAACGGGTGCTTTTCGGTATTCGCTACTTTGTAACGAAAATATGCGTCTCTTCTCGGTATTTCGGTATTCGTTACTGGAGGATCGATGAGGGTTCAGCTCACTTCGGTTTTGGTAAGAGGACAGTAGTAGCTGGTTGTATTTGCGAATGGTGATATGCGCTCCTTGTGTCCATGAATGACCTTGAAATAGGGCATGGAATGGCAAACGTGAAAGGCGCGGGAACTTCCGTTCGTCACCGAGACTAGAACTTGAGGTAGTATAATTAATTGCCTTTGTGTGCGCGGGAGAACGAGTGTGAAATAGTGGACATTTTTCGAAAGGCTGTTCGTTGTGTGTGTGTGTGTGGGGGGGGAATAGTAGAATCATTAGGCGATATTGCACTTAGTTCCTTCAGTGTGCAAAATCGTTAGCTGCGTATTTCGGTACTCCAAATCGTTACTAGGGCACTTCGGTACTCCAAATCGTTACTAGGGTACTTCAGTACTCCAAATCGTTACTAGGGTACTCAGGTACAGCAAACCGTTACTCCGGTATTTCATTACTTCGGTACTCCAAATCGTTACTTCGGTACTTGAAATCGGTTTTCGGTACTTTTCAAAGTAACGGTTACTTGAGTAACGGGTATTTTGTACCGGGTACTTTTCTAAGTACCGAAGTTGCCCATCACTATATAAAAATAGACCAACGGAAATGAGAAATATTCTGCTTAGAAAGCACAGTAAAATTATTTTAAGTGTTCATAAATAAATCTCAGACTGAACATAAAAATGAATTATCTCTGCAAAATACAGCAAACGCTATTGCGCAATACGTGCGGCCTAATTCTTCCATACGTGATATTACGCAATCGGAATCAACAGCTGCCGGTATTCGGAGAAATAAAGAACTAAATAAAGGAAAAGGAAGAGACTTACTAATCTTGGAGTGTTTCTGATTCTAATTTTCAACAAGACTGCATTAAATTTCCAGAATAGAATCAATCTTCGCGCTTGGGTCGGGTAGATCGCAAAAACTTTTAGTCCTATTCAATCCAGATTGGACAGTGAAAAACAAGTAAGTTCGGTGCAAAAAAAAAACAAAAGATTAGAGATTTTGCGGAGAAAGGGTGAACCTTCAAACCTCCGTACTGTATAATGTATTGGAAAAAAATTTAAAAAATTGACTATTCGATTACTTTTCTTTTATTTAAGCCATTCTAAATATTATTCCTTAGAAAGCTAATCTGTGCAAGAACACACCCATTTTTGGAAGTTTATCTATACTTCGGCAGTTACTGCAACTATATTATTATAAATATTCATGCATATGCTCATAATATACGCTTAACGATGATAATAAACAAGAATATGAACTCACCATGTGCAACGAGAATGCAAATTATTAAAATCTTCATAGAAATTCAAATGTGTGTAGTATTTGGGTGGGAGGAAAAGAATACTTTGCTACTTTTGATATCCCTGTTTCAGCAGGAATTATATCCCGCTATTACAGGCACCTCAAATAACCCAGTTAGGAGACATAACATACAGTGCTTCGCAGGAATACCTTGACAAGGGACTGTAGGAAGATTTGTGTAGATGTGGCCCAGTCCAGTGTAAATGAAGAATGTCATACTTTGGAACTTGAATGGCTGGCAAGAAATTAAAAATATTTATGGGGGGATTCCGATAAACGTGGGTTGCATAGGGCATTAAATTGATGTCAATTCTAGGAGTTCGAACTTAAAATTGTCTGAATAATTTACCTCCGCGTTGGTGATGGCTTTCTTTAAAATTTTTTAATTTAATTTATTGATAAATAACGCCACCGAATGTACCGGAATTTTCTACGGTTTTCGCAATTCTCTTTGACCAATAGAACGGCGTGCACCTGTCTGTACTCTCGCGCGCACCACATGTTACGTTAATGCAGAGAAAGGAGGAAAAGCTATTTCCAGGAGTATGATTCACCATCTGACGTTCCATATAAGGAAGAAAAGTTGTTTATTTTCGGTTTTGGTACGGGGGTAAAATGTGCGTTCATTAAAAAAGCACTAAAAGCAAAAAATAAGCACTTAAAATAAAAGGGGCTTTAAAGAAAAAGTAAGCACCTATAAGGGCCTTTATATTTTATTTTCAAATATAAGGAATTAAAGCACTTGTAAGGACCGCTACGAACACTGGAAATAGATGTAAAAATAAGCAAACAAATGATTCTCTCCAAAGTCGATAAAGAGTTCGCGATTTTTCGATGGGGCTGCGGATAATCCAAAAGTACCAAAATTACTTTTACTGAGCGTTAGCATAAGCGAAACAATAAACTCTTTAGGGAAAAAAAATGCAACATATCAAGAAATAATGTCTATATGCAGACTTCAGGTGAAAATAAGAAAAAAGAAACCTGAGGCAAGAAACTGAAGAAATGTTCAAAAATACAAAAGTAGTAATTTTTATTATTATGGGTTACAGTTAGACATCAAAATATGATGGTTTGTATTAAAGACTTCTAGTTTATGAGTCTATATGTACAAATAATCCACAAACAGTGTAAAAATTACGAAGAGAAAAATGTTAACCTGATTAAGAAAAAATAACTTGTAATCTAAAATAAGTCACTAATCCCCACAAACCCTTAGTCTCAGGGTGTGCAGATTTAAAGCAATCCTGCATTACATACTCTGCGAGAGACTAAAAATAGTAAATCAATGTGCTTAATATAATGGCTGAGTGGGTAATAATAAGATTTTGCATTAACAAACGAAAAAAAAAAAAAGTTAGCTTTCTTTCTCAAAATGTATGAGGGATACGAATCCTGATTACTAATATTTGATAAGAGAAGCTAGTTTAATATCTTTACCAATTTTTAACATGCAGAAGAGGAAAAGAAAAATTTTGAAAACAAAACAAACAAAAGCTGGTAAAGATTAAATTACCATACAGGTCTGAAAGCATACTGCTATTAATATAGAGTTATGGTTTAAACATTCATGAAATATTCAAAACACAGTCTCAGAGTTCCAACTTAAGCCCTATCGAATATTTGGCAAAAAAATGGAATCTTAAATTCTGTAATAAAATAGGTAAATCTTTAAAACAATTGAAATTAATAACAAATGAAATGAAAAATAATTAGGCCATAAATAATATGATACCATGTCATAGACTAATATATGTTTTTTAAAGCTATTATCTGCTGAAATACTAGAAAAAATTAAAATTTTACCCCACAGAATAGTTCATGACAAGAAATCTGTGCCCAAAAGTGGAAATATCTTTTAAGCTGAAGAATTTATTTTTGAAAAATTTCATAATGACGTGACAAGATGAAACCCTTTTTTGAAGCAAAACAAATTTTAAGATATTTCAATTTAGTACACCCAACATTTGTAGGGTCATAAGTTTATACTGGTGCAGGAACCTGAAAAAATGTGCTTTGCTATGGTTGGAAACTGAACCCTGAACCTCCCGAATACGCATACAGCATGCTTCCAGCTACACCATTGAAGGCATATGGAAAGGAGGGAGAAAATATCAAATATCTTATATATTCCCCTCTTTTTAAAGGGTGACAAGTAATTAGGAAGACCAATTGCCAAATCCTGGAGGTGACATATTATCAACCAATCATCAGTTTTTGTTTCGTTTTCAAAATTTTTCTTTTTCTCTTCTGCATGCTAAAAATTGGTAAAAGATATTAAACTAGCTTCTCTTATCAAATATTAATAATCAGGATTCATATTCCTCATACATTTTGAAAAAGAAAGCTAAATTTTTTTGTTAATGCACCACCTTTTAGTTTGGTTGCCATTTGTAAAATCTCTCTCTCTCTTTTTTTTATTATAAAGATTTTCAGTTATACCATGATGGCATGAGGAAAGGAGGGAGATACCTTATACACGTTTTAGAAATAAAAAAGATCAGATCACTTTTGTCCGACACTGTATATTTAAAAATTTGGGGCTTTATTGTCATCAAAATTACTCATATTATTGCTAGATACATGACTTTCCTCAAAATGCAAGAGTTTAACATTTCTCTAAATTAACTGGGCAAAAATGAATCTAACTTTGACAATAATTGCACAAAAACAATGCATTAGAAGAAAAAAAGTTCCTGGGTCCTTCTTCAAGGATAAAAAGGTTCTCACATAAATGTTAAAAAAAGAAATTTGAAATATAAAGCTGAATCATAAATCGTGCAGAGTAATCATAACCATATAATCACAAAGTAACATAATCATTACCTTATCTAAATATTAAAAATTTAAGTTTGTTTTTCCTGATAGCTTTTTGTGAAGACATTTTCCTTTTGTTTTATTTAAAGCTAAATTTATGATAAGCTTATTCTAGACCATCTATTTCAATAATCTGGAATACCAGTATTAAATGTTTTAGGACATTTTGTGCAAACAATCAAAGAAAAAGAGCACTACCAATAATAATAATCTAGAAATTTTTTTATTACACAAAAATGACTTAAGAATACAATTAAACATAAAAACAACTATTATTCTCTTTTTGGCGTCAACTTTGAATGTGCACTAAAATATATACACAAACATGGTGTATTATAAATAGATACACATTTACATGAAACTTTAAAAAACTGACAGCCACATAAATGCAGATCTATTTGTACAGATCCTTCATAGTTTATCAAAATAAAAATTAGAACATTTCATCATGTAAAAAATAAAATGGTGAAGTTAAGTTACATACAAACAGATGCCACAAATGAAATATGAAATTATGAAACAAAAATATCTATTAAATAAGTTGAAGTATTATCAAATGAAGCATCCTCACAATACCAGCTTCATTAGTCATAATGTTATACACACTGTATCACAGTAATTTATCATGTGGATGGAATGGTTGGCAGATAATATTTACCAGAAAAGGATAATTATAATTAAATTTAAATATTTACCCAAAAATTAATCCTTAAATGTGCCAAGCCCCGAGTCACTGGAAAACAAGTAAGTATTTAATACTATTATTAACAATACTAAATAAGTTTTACTTAGTTCTGTATTTTAAGTTTTGAACTCGGAGAAATGCTAAACCATGCACACTAAGTTCTTTTGAAATTTTATAAGAAATTCACTAGGTTCATGATACAATACTAGCTACAGTAATTAGTTAAAAAAAATTAAAGCAGAACTTCATTTAAGTAATCGCACAAATGGCAGTTGAACCATACCTAAAAATAAACTCGTTGATAACTTTCCAAACCCAATATAACCCAACATTACAAATAAATCTCTATTAATCATTCAATAACTATATTCTTCATTCTTCATACTAAAATATCTTTATAAATACTGAAAAAAAAAAATGAAATGTACTGACTACAGAAATATAGAAACGATGGTCGGTCAAAAATACCTGCAAATTATTAATTACACATCAAGAGCAGACAATGTTACAAAATATTACATAAAATAATATAAAATTACAAACATAAGGAATTTCTATATAAAGTTTACAAATTACACTTAACAGTAGTTTACAGAAAAATATATTTCATACAATGTGGGAAGGGCAGAGAAACATTAAGTTCAGGTCTAACTGATGTATTAAAATCTTCTAGAATTAAGTAACTTCTTATAAATGGAAAAAAGCTTCAACAGAAAAAGAATTGTAATTGGTGGTTATGCCTATGTTAGAAAAAAATGTCTAGATTTTTAACTATGAATGAGTATCAGCTGTTCGTGAACGCAAGGTTCTACCAGTACCTAAGGAAAAAAAAATTAATTGTAATAAATAATAATCATTTATTATTTTACATATAATTGAAATATTAATTTTTGAAAAACTAACCTTTAAATGCCTTTAAATCACTTTTGCTAGGTGAATCAGTATTTACTTTATTCTGAAAAGAAAATTAAAAGCAATGTAGCAAGAGGAACAAGAAATTAAAATATATTACATTAAAAGAAGTATTTCTGAAAATTAAAGATTCATCCTAAAATTCATCATGAACACCATACCACTTTTAAGTTTTAATAGCAAAATTTTATAATATTCCTACCAGTTCTTTAAAATTACAAAAATATATTCCTTAGCTAATAATAAATCATTAGTTTATAAGAATTTTCAGATTATATAAAGTTTTAAACTAAACTAATTCAATTAATTTACATTTTTCTCCATATCTCAGATTCTTTGATGTACATCTGAGAAATATGGGCAAGGTGATATTTTTATGGGAAAATGCATACTAACAGAATTAGCTTATTTTAATTTTAGCAGCCCTATTTGCACAACATTAAAAAAAGGAGGGACATTTATCCCAATGTAAAATTTCATGTCCAATTCAACATCTACTTCAAATATTTACAGTGGCATCAATTTTTTTTTTACTCCATGCACCCCTTTTAAAACTGCTAGAATATCATTCCCCTCATTCTAAACCTTGAAAAATACATGAACAGTTATATAAATTTAGATTTAAAAAAATTAATGTGTTTGATAAATTGAACAAGAAAAAACATAAAAATATTAATAAATAACAAAACTTCTTTTAAAGTAGTTTAATATTCATGAAATAAAACTAAATACAAGTAAATAAAAGGCCGACTGCATTCTCCCCTTGAAATTAAGAAAATCCCCCCCCCAGTTGATGCATGCATCTAATTACTCTAATCATTGTTTTCTTTTATATAATTTTGACTGCAACAACAAAAATTTTATTATAATAATGAAAATTACAAATTAATACCCTTTTTATGGTTGCTCTTCAATGCAACAAAAAGGACAAAAGACATTTTGATTTTTCTTGACTTACAAAAAAGGGTGCCAAAATTTGCTTTATATTAAAAGGTTGCCAACATTTGCTTCAAGTGGCACTCAAAACTAGATATGGCCTTAGACGTTAATAGATACACTATTTTTAATATTTACAGAACTAATATTTATTTAAATAAAGCTTAGTTCATAACTGAATATGAATAAAGCTATTACTTTAAATAGATTATCAATTCTCAAACTTAAAATGCCTGTGGATCCCCTTCTTGTAACAAAAATGTGACCATGAACCCACAAAAGTAATAACTCTATATAGGTGCATAATAAAAAAATTACTAATTTAAATTTGATGTCTTGAATAGTAAATGCCGACATAAAAATACAATACAAGTAAAACATTTTGATGTTGAAAGTAATATTTATTGTAATTATAATTTTTTTTTAACCTTCTAAAACCAGGCTGAAATTCTCATAATATAACCTTCAGACCGGCGCGATCCGAAGCAGTTTTGCGCTCTCTTTGACATTTTCCTAATGAGAAAAGTCATTAGTCCCCCTCCATGGATGCAGTAAAATTTACATGTTTGTCGGACGCTATCCCATAGTAGATGGGTTGCTAAATTTGCGATTTTTTCGATGATTGTTTTGCTTTCATTTAAATGAAATTCTAAATAAATAGTGCATAAATAAATATGCAGTACTGGATGCATATCCAGTGCACTATTTATTTAGAACAAAATGTATGCAATGTTTATATTTCACTCACTATTTCTGATCAATCTCGTAAAAAATTTGTGAATTTTTTAACTTTGTTTTCACTCTTCATTTATATTCATGCGTTTTTGTTATTAGAAATTAGAAAACGATAACAAAATTTTACAAAATATAATAAATACGAACTAGCTTTGGAAAGTCTGCAGGCTGGAATGTGATTTTTAATAACATATTTTCATTAACAAAATAGTGGTAATGAAATAATAATAATAATATTTATTATCATTAGATGATTAGAATGAGATTCAATACAATTAGATTTTGAGATGAACTTAGAGCAATAATAAAGCTTTACATAACAATAACAGAGCTTTAAATGTGCTTTTTTCGATAATTTTGTTATTGTAATATAAAAAAGAAAATCTGAGATACATTGGTTGCGTTTCATCATTTAACTTTAACAAATATTACATTGGACTATCAGGCAAAGGAGGTATATTTTTAACAAGAATTTCTCTTTGTGAAATTGGCTTTTGTTTATGTTAGCAGAGAAAAAATATATACATGCAATCATCAAAAGTACAAAAGTACTATACATGCAATCATCAAAAGTATTTTTTAGAACAGTTTTAAATATTCATGAAGAATTAATTATACGTCAATTTCTTTTCATAGGTAGAAATTTCGTCTAAAACCATCGTTTTATCAAAAGGTTGAAGTCTATTTCATTTTCAACGAATATTCTATTTGCACATAATATATTTTCTAATTTATTTTAGAAAGAGTAATCTTTCACGTTTTCAAAAGAATAAGGACATACTGGGTGTTGTCACTTACAATGTAGTAAATATGTTTTTCATATTTCTTCCAGTAATGAAAACTATTACCCTGGAATATTTTCAAAGCAAAATTAAGAAAGCCGTTTACACCAAATTTTGCATAAAGTATCTTTTCTTATATTTTTTTTATTTAAAGTGTGAAATTTTCTCTTTGAAAATATAAAAAATCATGAATGGAGCAAAATTAATTCATGAGAAATAACTTTGGAATGCAATAATTCCATCGTAATATGAAATAGTGGAGAAAAGTGCAATACAGTTTATTTATTCACAAATAATCCCCTCATATGCTTAATTTATGTACTGTCGATTGAGAAATATAGGTTAGTAAATTAAACTGGTTATTTCAATACTTTTTCTTTATCATTTTTTTTACGGGCCCTTCAGTAGAGCAGTAGCGGTGGCTGAACACTTGTAGCTCGCTCGGGTTTGAATCCAAGATAAAGGGTTGGATTCCTGGTTTTTTGTGTAACATAAATGCAAGCCAGCTTTCCTTAGAAAGTCTTCCGTGAAGACATCCCTCCCCTTATACAGGTAATTGTTGTGTGTTTTGATGTAATTCAGTAAGCAAACAAAATTAATTCAATCAAACCTGAAGAACAGGTTGATTACATGTGGAGTTTTCCACCTGGAACATAAATGCGAGAAATTTTCTTTTAAAAAGGTTTACACAAAAGCATCCATTCCCTTAAGCAGATAGCGTTCGTGTGCTTTTCCGTAATCCAATCCTAATTCTCATACATTTAATAGTAAGTTGACATACACTATATTACAGATAAAATAACAACCTTTTTTAAAGATTTTTTTTTTTATTAACTGTCTAAATTCCCTTTATCTCTTGAGGAGTATAAGAATTTCAGCTAATAAAACTGGCCGAAATTTTATACAATGTAACTGATGTTTTGATTCAATTTAGAAGTAACGTGAGCTTTACTGATATTTAAGTACTTTTTGGCAAATCCCATCCTAAAAGAGGGTCTAAAGATAAATTGATTTTATTTAATTTACAATCAATGAAAATCATTGAATGAAATCATTGAATGAATGAAAATCACAAAAACTATTATGCATACAATTGTCTCTTATTCATCTCCTGATAAATCAGACAAAATTGCCTACATAATAGAAGCACTTTGAAAGAGTTAACAGTTCTTAAGGGTTTTATGCACTCCCCCCCAAAAAAAAAAACAAAAGTCAAAATAAAATCTTATTATTCATAAGTATAAAAAGGAAGTAAACGATAAAAGCAGTTTTAACTATTTTCTAGAAGGGCATTAAATCTAAAAAATTAATCTATTCTTATTTGCTGTGATTAAAAAGCATTAAATCTGGTAAGCTTAAACAGCGTGCAAAATCACTGACTTTTTTAATCATAGCAAAAGTCAACACTAAAAAAATTAGAGATGGCCTCTATTTGATTTTCAAGTATATTGGCACGAGACGAAACCTGTGGTTTTTGCCAAAATGTAGCCAAACTGATAAGAAGAGGGAAACAATGCGTAGCCAGCGGCTATTCTGAGCAGCGACAATGGACCGCCCAGAGATCTACAGATAGGCGATTCTCTAAAATAGGAAGGGAATGGCTGGTAGGACAGTTGTACACAGCCAGCGTTAAAGAAAGTCATTTTCCTGGTACAACTAATGTACCAGCCAGCTTCAAAAAGTTAAACTACAAAAACACATTCTTTTCCCTAATGAGATGAGTGAAACTGATGGGATAATATGAGGTTATATATGTTTGGCTCTATGTTTGTGAGTAACATCATACCTCCATGAGCACTAGTTTTCATTCTGTTTCTTTTTTCAGTGATGAGGTTCATAACTGCACTAATTCCACATTCTAATAGATAAGAAGCTATGGGGAAGCAATCAACAGCTTTGCTACAATGACCCATAATGCGGGAGGTAAAATTTGTATCTGTTTTTGTAACTAGAATTTGTGGTATTGTTATTCAAGCATTGGTTTCAACTCCTCATTTATGGATAATTCAAAAAATCCCTCCAGATTTGTATGGATTGATCCGAGTTTATGGGTCTTAATTTACAGGAACTCACAGTATGCATTTACGTTTATAAATAGAGTACATTTTCATTAAAAAGTATATTTGCATATATATATCAAGAAAACTGGCCTTAAAAAATTTGCCATGCTGAATTTCTTGAAAATAGAAATTTTGCTATTTCGCGTCCAGAATCAAACACAGGATTTTGACGTTCATGATTTATTGGAATTCTACAATAAAAATTTCAAAATACCACTTACTTCATCTATATCTCCACCAGGTGCTTCTTCTAAAGAAGAAAATAAAAAAATTAATATAAAATAATATATTTTCAGGAAGAAAAAAAAATCCCCTACAGTTTAATTAAGAAACCCAGCAAATAAAACACAAGACCTGAAATACTTGTAAGAAGAAATAAAGATCAATAAATTTAAGAAATAAAAATCAAATAGTCTAAGGCATTTTTCAAGCCAGATATGCTTATTGATCGAAATTTTAATCCAAATTATTTGATTACTGCAACACGCTTAACAATAGATTGAAAGCCATGTTTACAAATTATTACTCATTACAAAAATTTATGTCTAATAAAAACTAAAAATATATTTTTAACAATTGTGTAAAAATTTCCAATTAAAAATCAGCTAGATATTCACTGAAGCAGGAATTATTCATCAGAATTAATTTATAATTAAACTGATATCATCATCTATCATACATCAGTGACAAAAATACTGACCGAATATACATCAATGACAAAAAATATATGAGAGTTTTAATTATATGTACATATAAAGCAATATGAGGCTTTTGATTTTTGTTTTCATACTTTTATAAAGTTTATTCCAGCATGCCATATTTCCACTGATTATGTGATCAATTGCATCTTCTCTTATTTTAATATACCCATTCCCCTATGCTGTAGCAGCTATTATTTAAAGGTGTTATTGCTAATTATTTACGAGATTATTTATATGTGGCTAGATTCAAACATTAGGAGTTAGTAAATGTTTTCCACTGTTCAATTTTCATAAAAGCTCTGCATTCAGACATTTCACCACATCTTATTATACCTCAGAAATCAATAGAAACATCAAATTTGTGTTTAATCTTGAAAAGTGATTTGGAACAGATTCAATGTTGATTCATGACATATTTTAAGAAGCTTGGCTTCACAATACTTCATTATTTGAATTCAAGTTTTAATATGTAAAAAATAAATGATAATATAAATAAAAAAATGATATAAAAATATCATAAATGCATTACATGTAAAATCATAATGAAAAGAATGTAACCAAATTATGCACTTATGGCATAGTGTACAAGTTATACTGACTGTGTACTAAAAGGATTAAATGTAACCAGCTCTTACTCTACAATGAAAATAAAAAAAGTCTAAGAAATATATTCATCCCCATAGGAAATGAGACTTCAGACGAAATTATCCTGCTCACTTATATCCCCTGTAAGCTGAAGAGGCTAAAGAAATACCAGTTCAAATTACAGATTATCATTTATTTCATCTTTTCATAATGGGATGTCATATGCAAAAACTCTATGTCACCGAAGATATACGTAAAATCAGTGCTAATATAAAAACTTTTGATGGCATCAAAAAGTATCAAAAATTATCTACATAATAATTCAATATTTTGAAAGGTATATCTAATTTCATCCTTTTATCTTACTTTTCAGTTATTATCGAACAAAATTTAAATGCTTAATCTATTGCTTTTAGATCAAAAGTAATAGTTAATTTATTAAATAATAGGGTTATTTTATGAAATACTTTATGTGAAATGTACTGCATATTCCTAAATCAATGCCAATTCCTGTTAAGCCTCAAATAAATGTTTTCTTCAAAAAATTACTCACAATTCAAAATCTGTATATAAGCCAAAATGGAAAAAAAATCATGTAAAATTCAGAAATGTTGCCATAATGGTGAAAATATTGCAAAGCATGAAAACGTGTGGATTATTTTCCATCAAATCACTATGAAGTAAAACACCAGACACCAAATGGGATAGTTATAACTCTGGTAACCACATCTGTAACTAGCACACTTTTCTCATTCATTTGTTATCTTGTACATGATCTGTGGTACGTGTGCTAAATCATGTACAAGATAAGATTTATATTATGAGTCATTTTATTTGAAAGATGAGCGGGAAGAAAAATTTTTATACCGCAGATTTCAAATTACAAGGGATCACATTTGATAAAAGTTTTAATAACAGTATGGTAAATGAAAAACCAGTTCAAGAATGGAAAAAGTGGGGGTCCTAATGTCACCAGCATAAAATGTTTTGGGCTTGCTACAACGAACTGAACCAACATAGTGAACAATTTTGAAAACAGAACAAATTATTTTCATAAAACGAGTATCTTATTTCATTAAAAAATTTTCATAAACTTCGGAAATATAAACTAATGAAATAAAAAAAGTGCAATATTTGATGATGACAGCTTTCTCTTGGCTAACGGAAAAGTACATGCATTTTTTGAGAGATTAGTGGATCTGTATATAAGCCGACATCCGTAATTTAATTTCAGAAAAATTACAAAAATTCTTCGCTTATACATGGAAATATATGGTAGTTTGCATCAGTGTCATCTACTTCAGTGAAAAAATTAGAAGTGTGGGGATGAGGCTCCAAAAGAAATTTTGCCCTGGCCTCTAGTTTGGTAAATCAGGTTTTGGAGGTGTCCATTGCAATTCCTAATTACATCTTTTGTTTTTTTTCTGTTGTTACATCTCTACGATATCTGTTCTCATTAATAGAAAATAAAAATTATCATCATCAAAATTCATCATAAAAAGTAGGCTTCATAAATATCCCTCCTTTTTTTTTAACTTCCTGGCCTGTGAGATTCCAAAATCCACAAATAATTTTTTTAAATGTGTTATACTATTGACTTTCCAATGCCATACATCTTACATAATTTGGATACAGATATGACTTTATCAGCTTAAGCAATTCCACTTTTTGTTTCATTGACAATGAAACACACTTTTCACTTTGCTGCAGCTCCAAAATTAAAAACTTTTTGCCAACATAATCAAAAATTCAAACTTCAATTTTGATAAGATAGATCACTTTAATAAAATAATAATAGGCTAGAAAAATAAAAAGTTTATTAAATTAAAAAAGAGTACAACTTTTGATGTTAATCGAACTTAAGTTCCTTAACTTCTTCAGAATTTAATTATTTTTCCTTTCTCTTCTGCTCTGTCAACAAAGAAAACCTGTGCAAACAACATCCCACTCCAAACAAATATGCCTTGGGGGGTTCACTAATTTTTTTATGTCAATGATAGCCCTCTCTTCCACAGCCACTCAAGGGTAAAAAATGTGATTGCATGTCAATGCAACATCAAGCAATATATTGGGTTGGCAAGAAAGTAATTTCAGTTTGCACAAATAGATGGTGTTATTTTCGCTTTGATATTCTTTTGCCAGTCTTAAAACTTTTTTTTTTTTCTTTTGAATTTTGGCAGCTGACACTTTTAGGTTGCTATAGAAATAAATTCCATGCATTTTTGTTTACAACTGTTAATTTATGGTCAGTTTTAACATGAGGTACAAAAATAAACATTTTTGATATTTTTCACTTTTTTATTTTCATAAAGGCAAGAAAGTGGCTCAGGCTCACAAAGAGATATGTGAAGTTTATGGTGTTAATGGCTTAACAGAATGCATGAGTCATATTGGTTTAAAAAATTTTGTTCTGCAGATTTTTCACTTGAGGATGACCAACGTTCAGACTGACCTTCTGAAGTTTGTGATGACAAAATGAAAATCATAATTGAATCAAATCATCACTTAACTGTGGGGCAGATTCTAAAAGGTTTCATTGTATCACACACAATTAAAAAACACATAACATGTCTTGGACTGATTAAGAAGCTCAATATTTGTGATACAGTCAAAAGTCATTAATCCAGACTCGTCGGGACTCAAGGGTAAAAGAGATAGGCAATTCCGGATTATCGATTTTTCCAGATTATAGATCATCAGTTTAAATCTGGTAAGATGGCATGCAGAAAATATAAAATTAAAAATATGAAAACTTAATTTATAAAATAAAGAGCAATTATGATCTAAAGGGTATCAAAATATACAAAAAAAACTTAATATTTATTTGTTTACTTTATTAAACATTTCTTTCAATGCGTGCATGCGTAAAGAATACATTACGCATAGTCGAAATTAGAAAATTGCAATCAGAAAACTATTTGATGTGTATCCGTAATATAATGACGAGAAATTTGATTTAAATCATATCAAAAACGGAGTACATTGAGATGAAATACTACATTTAGTAAGGAATTATAAGCCAAATAAAATAAAAACATCTGCCCTGAAGATAAGGATAGTGCTGACAGATCAACTTCCAATTCATTGCGCACTGCGGCATACTGCTTTCATAGCACACCTACTTTTTTCTTGTGTACAATATTTTACGTTCCTAGACTTTGTAAGAAAAAAAAATTCATTAATCTTTGAATATATTAAAATATTAATATTTAACATGGGTGTAAGTATATATGTATTTCCTTCTTATTTCTTAAAGCTGTAATCAATATATGTATATGAGAAAATAAAAACAGGAACATTTCATAAATACATAAGGAAAATCACCTACCTTGGGGATGACAAGAAGTAGCAACTGCAACAATGAATTGAAGCATAGCATCTAGTAATGTAAATCTTGCAAGAAGTTCTCCACTCTAAGAAAGAACAAAGCCATTAAAACAGTCACTTTCATAAAATAGTTGTAAAAAAAAAACCAAGTGCTTCAAACACAGGGTTAAAGATATGCAATAAATGCAACAGAAGTAAAAGAGCTGTAAACTGAAATTTCAAAATAGCCCATGCAGACAGATATTATTTATGGAAATTTTTAACATATGGACAAATGCAAATATTTTTTACTCCTTAACAAGTTCTTTTATCAATATAATATAGCTTGAAAAATTTGAGATATAAAATTCAATTTTTCATGCTGTCATATAGCAAAAATTTCAGTTAATAAAATGTTCATATTATAGCTTAAAAAGTTATACACAAAAAGTTCTTTTACATTTGTGTACAAATTCATAGACATAATCATAGATTCCATAGTTCCACACATTTTTTGTTTTCTGTGAATAAAGACAGATGACTCTCAGAGATGCTGAAATTATCAGCACAGTTCATGCACCGTGAAACAGTGTTCTGCACAGCCACAGTTGTTAAGAAGATATAGTCTAATTTTACATTTTCAATTTAAATTTAATTTTACATACTTCAAACAAATAAGATTTAATTTTAAACAATAAGATTTAATGATTTTTAATTTTAATTTTGCATATTTCAAACAAGTAAGATTGTTATGATTACAAGAAATTCTTACTTTATTTGAATGAGTTTCAATTTTATACTAAAAAAAGAGGCCAGTGGCAGAGTTGGTGCAAATACATAGGCTGGCAGGATTTAAAGGCCGCAAAATTTTTAGAATTAAGAAAAAACTGAGTGGCAGAATTTAGAAGTTGCAGAGTTTACACTGAGCAGTAAAAAGGCTAATGCTCAGATATTTAAACAAATTAAGGTAAGGAAAGTTGATGAAGCAATTCATGAGAACAGATGCTTCACAATGACAACTCTTTCAGAGGCATTTCCGCAAATTTCATGTACTGTTTTGTTAGAAATTGTGTCTGACCGCTTGAATTATCGCAAACTGTGTTCCCGATGGGTTCCAAAAATGCTCACTGATGTTCACAAAACAAAGCGACTTGGTAGTGTCCTGACATTTCTCAGGCGGTACAGTGATGAGAGAGAAAACGTTTTAAACCAAATTGTGACAGGTGATGAAATTTGGGTGTGTCATTTCACACCAGAATCGAAACAACAATCGATGGAGTAGAGACACACTCATTCTCCGAAAAAACAAAAGTTCAAAGTGACAATGTCATCACAAAAAATCATGTGCACTGTCTTCTGGGATAGGAAAGGTGTTTTGCTTACTGAATTTCTTCCCAAAGGTGAAACCATTAATGCGGCACAATATTGTGAGACTTTAACAAAACTAAGGCGTGCCATTCAAAACAAACGAAGAGGAATGCTCAGTAAAGGAATTGTGTTGCTCCATGACAATGCTCGGCCCCCATACTGCTGGTGTCACTCAATCGTTAATTCGACAGTTTCATTGGGAGCAGTTCGATCACCCGCCGTACAGCTCGGACTTGGCGCCGTCCGACTATCACTTGTTCCTGCACATGAAGCGCGAGCTTGGTGGCAAGCGCTTTGGATCTGACGATGACACGAAAAATGCTGTGGAGTCGTGGTTATCGAAACTGGCGGGAAGTTTCCTTGACAATGGTATACAAAAACTGGTCACCCACTATGACAAGTGTTTGATCATTGGCGGAAACAATGTTGAAAAATAGTTTAAGACATGTATTTTCATGCAGAAATAAAATTGGATTCGAAAAAATTGTTTTACTATTTTTTTTTTCAAAACGGTACTTAGTTTCCGAATACGCCTCATATTTAATTCCACAAAACATCTTCATTACAGTATCAAGTAGCACTAACAAAATTCATTTCAATTATACTTACAAAATTTAGAGATATTTACTGAATGTAAAATATGCTACTGGATATATCCTCCACAGTTCAGGATATCTGGTCACCTTAATCCTCCGAGTGGCATGGGTTTTGGGGGTCTGCTTATGAAGAACTGCATTAAATCAGCTTATGTATGCTAAATTTGCAATTACTTATTGTTTTCATAAATTTCCATTTATTAAGACGATATTTACATCATTACAGAAAGAAGAAAATAATTCAAATTATAAGCTAATATACATGAAATAACCCCAAAAAAATCTCATTATCAGATAAACATGGTCATGTCATCTCAGAGGGTTAAGCTCTGTACATGTCATGTAGAAGTACCCAAACTATTCATTAACTGCGTCATCATAAACAAATATATAGACATGAAAACTATTAGGTATCCATAAAAAAAAAAAAAAAAAAAAAAAAATAGGGCCTTAAAAGAAATAATTATCCTAAAGAAATTTTTAATTACAAGGTTTAGTGTAAAATCAATTTTTTTTTTTTCATTCCGAGATATTTATCATTAAAAATATCTTACTGTATTGGTTACTATAGAACAATATCAAAATAATGAAAAGCTTCTATCATTTTTATTTCAACTATGTCTGATAATTATTACAGTATCAATTACATTATTGATTATGTCAGACAGATTAGTATAATTCCAGATACTGTTTCCTCTTTTCAATATATGCATGAAAAGGAATTATATTCTCAATATGAACTTCTGTTAGACTGAGTTTATACCTTACGAATGAAATTACATGTTTGAATGAATGACAGCATTGTTAAGACATCAAAACTGCTATTATGAACATTTTAATTGTTCATTAATAAAAAAAAACTATTGCTTATAAACTAATTAAATGTTATACAGAAAAATAAAAGGAATACAAAATATAAAAGGTAAAATTACCTTAAGATCAGCATACAAATTTGAGACTGTCTTTGGTAGAGTAACAAACCAATTCCAAAGCCACAGAAATAAAACAGAAGGCCCTGAGGAAGCTTTTGATTTTAACTAAGCCAATAAATAAATAAAAATTAATAAAGAAATGATGTCATTATTCAGAATATTTGTTATAATGCTTAACAGGTTAAAGTTAAAAATTCACATTAGAAAATTAATTTTAAAAATCATACACATAGAATTAGTTTAAATATGCTTGACACATTAAAAAAAGTGTGAAAAATGTTAACAGGAACAAAGTTATAGCAATTAAAAAACTTATCTAATTCTGTACCATGTACACTGTGAAAAAAAGGGGGGGCAGTTCTGTATCTCCCATTCTACTGGGCCGATTGACAAAATTCATCTTGTGTTTATCATGTCTTGAAAGCGCGAAAATATGTATTAGATTTATATATAGCATTGTTTTCATATACATATATTCACACAAAACTCACAAAACTTTTTTGAAATGACATGCCACGTTTTTTCAATATTTCGATTCTACGACTCAAATTATGCCGAGTTTTGTAAAAATTGCACGAGTAGTTTTTAAATAATTAGCTTTCAAAATTTTAGCTCCTCAATGTTAATTGACTTTGACATATATTTATTAATATCTCTTTTTTTATTAAACTTATTTGACTCTTCCTTTCATATTTCGAAATTTAGGTTCATTCCAAATAAAATTCGCCTATATTTTACGATTTATTTTTTAAATTTGAATTATTTAATAATTTTTATATATTTTTCGAAAACAATTTTGAATTATAAGCAATAAAAGTTTTGCCATCATCTTAAAGCAGATGTATTTCTAAGCCTACCTGCAAAAAATTAGTTATTTTATTCAAAACTTCCTAAGAAATAAGTGAATTTACATTTTGGCGTATTTATTTTAAAAAATAATAACGAAAATGTGGCTTACGCACTTTGTTAAAATTATTTGAAAGTATGCACGATGACTTTTTTCCCGCTCGTGGACAATAAAGAAAAAATAAAAGAAAGTAGGTTGCCATAAATTAAGAAGTTCGCTAAGTGCATAATTCTTGGCGCAAACTGAAAAAAATTAACAGAGATAAATTTTTAAATTTCTCACCAAAAATTACAAAATTTAATATCTAGGCATAATTTGAGTCGTAGACTCGAAATATGGAAAAAAAAAAAAAAAAAAAAAAATGGTATGCCATTTCAGAAAAAGTCCGATTTTGTGTCAAAATAGCTGTGTTATAACAAAGCTATACATAAATATAATATATATCTCGAGTCGCGTTTTCGAGGCATGGAAAACGCAATTTGAATTTCTTCAATCGACCCAGTAGAACTGTCATCCCCTTCTGTTTTGCACAGTGTACACCTTTCACCCCCCCCCAAGAAAAGGGATAGTTCTAAATATCCCGTTCTAATGGGCCGATTGACGAAATTTAACATGTGTTTTCATGCCTCGAAAAACTTAGGATATATGTTAGATTTGTACACAGGATTGTTTTAACATAGGTATTTTGACACAAAATAGGACCTTTTTCTGAAATAACATGCCGATTTTGTTCCATATTTCGATTCTCGACTCAAATTAAGCCCAACTAATTAAAAAAAATTTTCGAAAAAATTTACTTAAATGTTCAAATTAAAAAATCAGAAAATAGGTGTGATTTTTTTTTTTTTTTTGGGGGGGGGTTTGAACCTAAATTTCGAACTGTAAAGAAGAAGGAATCGAATAAGTTGAATAATAATAAAAAAAAAAGTATTAATTGAATTTGGTATGTACTTATTAACACTGAGGAGCTAAAACATTGAGAGCTAATTTTCTAAAAAACTACTCTTATAATTTTTACAAAACTTGGCACTTTGGCATTCATTTGAGTCGTAGAATCAAAACATGGAAAAAATTCGGTATGCCTTTTCAGAAAAATCCGATCTTAGGTCAGAATACCTGTTAGAACAATGATATATATAAATCTAACATATATCCTAGTCGCGCTGTTGAGCCATGAAAAATCAAGTTAAATTTTCAATCGGCCCAGTAGAACGAGAGATAAAGAACTGCGTTTTTTTTTTTTTTTTTTTTTTTTTTTTTTGCAAGGTGTACCAGGGCTTAATTTCTAAGATTAGAAGTGCCGGAGCCCTATGGAAGACCGTCAGCAAAGAGGAACAAGAGTAAATAAGTAAATAAAAGGACTATTAAATTCATTAATAATTTTTAAATGAAACAATTAACTATTATCAAATTAATTAATAGCTATTTAATTAATGTTTAATATTGTTATTCAATCAATAATTATTATACAATTAATTATAACTTAATTGATAATTATTAGATACTTAATTATTATTTATTGAAATAATTAAAGATTGAAGTAAATAAATAGTTAAAATTAAATAAAATGTAAAGACATAAATTGAAATTTAACAAGCGATTTTTAATATAATTTTATTGTTAAAATAAAATTTTCGAGATAAAATTTCTACTGAAATTGTTATTCAATTACATAAAAGAAGTGCCGCAGTCTTCTTATTCAGGGCTCCAGTGTGTTCCGGCTAGAATTATGATTTATTACAAAAACTAAGAAGCACCGGCCCAATTTAAGCTCAGATCGTAGAGGGTGAAAAAGTTCTTTTATCATCACAAAAATTAAATAAACTTAAAGTATAGCTGATTAAGTACTTATTATAAAAAGAAGTACCGGAGCTCATCTTATTTAGGGCTCCGGTGCGCTCCGGCTAAAATTGTAATTTATCTTAAAAATTGAGAAGTACCGGAGTTGGGCTCCGGCGCAATTTATGCACTGAGGTGTACATAATACATAGTAGGAGGTGGCAACAAGGAACACTACATGAGCAGAAGAATCAATTTTTCTCGACTGCTAAACATCTAATTCCGCATACAGTACACCATTTTCAGTCCCCATAATTCTCGTATATTCTGTTCAACCACGGCGTCGCAAGTTTTACATCCATAACCTCTCCTCAGTGGAACGGTGCTTCGGTACACCAAGGGTACCTGAGCAGAAGGCCCTACCCCTTGTAGAACAGTATGAAGTTTCGAATTATACCAAAAAATAACCTGGTGATGAACTCGAATGTATTTTGAAGACTAGAATAAAAACGTGTTGACAAGAAGCATCGAAGATGGACTAAATGATGGGAAAGCTGTTCAAGAAATTAAGGAAGAGGTGACATTCTCAGAACACATCAGTTTTCGTCTTCTGCAATTTTCATTATGTACGTGACAGCTCTGAAGCCTGCAGAAAGTTTGTCAGCAACAGTCCTTGCCTTGGGAATTCTTTCAATGAGCATAACAATATTTTTGAGGAAATCTTGCACTTTATCATCCAGAATCCAGTAGGTTACAGAGCCTGCTTCCCTCGGAATTTGAAATCTTCACTCTTTAACCTTTTCGCTTTAACTAGGTATAGCAGTGGCGTCAGTTTCCTTGTTATCTTTACTTTCTTCTGTGCTTTTCAGATTAGGAAAGTCTTCCTTCGTCCAACTAGCATCCATAACCTCTGTTCGTACATAAAAGTCATTTCAAGAATTTGTATTTCGAGTTGTAAACATAGTACGCCTTCAAATTAAAAGCCTACAAAAAGATATAAACAATATTGCAGTAGTTGGTACTAAGAAAATATTTTTATTGCAGCTCTTTGTTGCATGTCAAACTCTATTTCAGTTGCGCAATAATAACAATGTGCAGTTTTCTTGCCTGGCTAGCTATATTTTTCCGTGAATGTTTTAGCAATAAGAAAAAAATCGTTAGAACATTACAATTTATGCAATTCCATACATTAGCTCTATTTGATTTAATTATATATATATATATTTTTTTTACTTTTCATACAATTATATATTTATTGGTATTTTTGCTATTATTATATATTTACTGTTATTATTGTAGCTCCTTCACCGTGCCCGTCGAACTCAAGCATTTTTGAAAAATGATATAGTAAAAAAAAAAGTTCACAGCCCCCAATATAAAGCATTATAAGCATCTTTTATTACTTAAAACAATACTGAAGATGTTCATAAAAAATTAACTGCAGATATTGTTACAGCTCCTAACCTTGAAACATTAAATACCAGAAGAATTTCATACTGTATGACAGTAGAATTTCAAAAAATATTCTATCAATATGAACTGAATTCGAAGTCCATTTATATTATATAATTTGAGTCATTACACTACGTACGAAATGATTTTGACATTAGATCAAATAATAACTAGTCAGAAAAATTACGTTTAAAACCATCTGGGGAAGGGGGAAAATACATAGTTTGAATTTTCTCTAGAGATGACAATATCATTACTTTTATATTTTTTTTCCTCAATATTTAGTGATCAATAGTTTTTTCACAAGAATTTTTAAAGAGAAATCTAAACTCAGATAAATAAAAAATTCGGAGATATTTATTAAGACACAAGGATATGTGATGAAAAGTCCGAAGTATCCAGTTTCACGTAGTGGGTTGAACAGCTTTGTGTTGTATATGAAATGTGTTTCAAATTGTATGAGTTAAATAGAATATTAAAAAATAAAACAGAGATTTCAGTTATTAAGAAGTATGCGTATCATTTTCCCACTGCTTACTTTACTAAGAAATCACAGATTAAATTTAACCCTTTGCACATTTCCAATCAATTCGGAACTTTTTTCAGATCCACTTTTATGGGAATATATCACACTTAACCTTGCGAATTGAGAAGTAAATTTTAAAAAAAAAAAAGTTCCAACTACACAGCCTTGGGCAGGCAAGGCTAGTTCACTCTTGCAGTTTCTAGCTAGTTCATTCTCCCAAAAATCAGCGAGGTGGAGAGACGCGTGTGACACTGCGAACAAGCTTCTCTGGCTTACTGAACCCCTTTTGCCCCTACCCTTTCGGCGCACTTGCCTCCACACACCATTAGAGGGCAAAAAAAGGCTACATACGGAGTGCAATGGTAAAAAGTAGGATGGCAAATGTATGGCAGCATATAAGAGCGTATTGTGGCGACCACATGATGGCGACATACGAACGCAAAGGGTTAAAAGACAAAGCATTTTTTTTTTTTTTTTTTTCAATTTTACCAAACGGCAGCACTCTGAGAAGTTGTAAACCTATGTGTAAGATATACAAAGATTTTATATTCTTCACAGTAATATCACTTGACAAGGAGAGTGGATGATAAATGTATAGCAGCATTACATTTTACAAACCTACATAACACAAAAATTTTTCCAAAACTTTTGTAAAGACTGTTTGGGTTCAAGCCACAGATTCAATAGCTAAAACACGTTATTGATTTTATATTTGGGGTGGGGGAAGGGAGAAGCTACGAAGAGGAAAAAAAAATCAAACCTACTACCAGAAAAGAAATTTGCATTAAAAAAATTTTCGACATCCCTGAAATAAGTTAATTTTATCCTAAATTTCACTTGACTAATGAACCTGAAGTACCGATTTAAAGGGGTAAACTTTCTTTTCAAACAAATGAATTAGATGAGATATTTTAATATCAGATCTCTCTTTTCTTCAGAGAGCAGACATTCATTTTTTAAGACTTCTTGTTAAAGAGCTGTCATGGACAAAGTTCACTATTTTTCAGGTGAAAAATCTTGCAAAACTCAAAATACAGATGCCTCAGACAACAGAGATCATTTTGCGTTTTGGAGCACAGTTGACTTGAAATTGAGTTTTGAACAGATGTGCGAACTTTCGTCGCTCAAACACATCAAAATTTGATGACACAAACATTTTTTTAAATTATTGTAATAATATGTGTAATATAGCAAAAATTTTCTAAATAATCAAAGATTTTTGGAATACTCTGTATTATAGGTATGTGTCTCCAAAATGCAGTCCCCAAAAGTTAAGAGAGTTTTTCATAACAATGTAAAATTTGTAACTCACTTCAGATGAATCTTTATTATATGAGCCATTTCTACAAGCAGCCTTTGGAACTTTGTCTCTTGTATCACCTATAAATGTAAATAAATGGACACTATGAACAAAAAGGAGTTACTGATAATGAAAAAAGAGTAATGCCATTGAATAGCAAACACATAAAACTAATATGTAAAACTAAATTTGTTAAAATATAAAAGGAAGGGATAAAACAAACAAATTAATGTTTTAAAATTGTTTTGGTTTAATTTTTTTAAATTTTATTTTTTAAAAGGGTAAGATCCTTTTAATTGTAGGAACAAAGTTCTCATTCTTGAAGTAATGCTTCTAAATCTCTAGCTGCCAACTTTGAAATATGTAAAACCGGGAGGTTTTTGTGCCCAGAGTTTTCGGAAGTTTTCGAACTAGCGGTGGTACCATTTGAAATGAACTCTCTTTTCTTCAACTCTTTTCAATTTGAACTATTTAAATTTGCATTATAATGCAAGATTCAGGTAATTCAACTATTTAAAATATAATTATATGTCAGATATATTAAGATTTAATTATATATTCTAAATTTTACGTTCGTTGGCAAATTTCATTTTGCAACTTTCTTATACTTTTATAATGAGAAGATTCTGAGTAAGGAAGGAAAGCTTTAATTTATCAAATTACTTCTAAACAAAATGAAAACTTAATTAATAATTAATGTACACACTATTGTGCGGATCAATTTAGCAATGCATCGGATATTGATGTAAAACAAAACTAAATACAAAAATTAACATGGGGTGAAGCTTCATAATAAGCTTTGCAAATGTTTAAGATAAATAAAGACACTTCAGATAAAATAAGATTTATTAAGAAAAATTTCGCTGAAAATCACTAAAAGTGGAGAGTGAAATTTTCACAATTAGATTTCCTTCATTCAATAAATCTCATTTATTACTGAGAAACATCTTTGCTTTAGGCTAAAAGTCAAAAACTGCGAGATTCTTAAGATCTGCAGGGAGATGTGACGAAAAACTAAGAGTCTCCCGGTCAAACCGTCAGGGTTGGCGGCTATGTAGCACTATTCAGATAATAAAAATGAAGTTCAATGTAATAATTAGAAAAAATAACCAAAAATTTTATTTCATTTGTGCTAGATCAACATCCTCAAAGCTTTGATGTGACGATAGTGAAAACTGTAGATATAGAATGCTTTTTGTAGTATTTCTACCGTTTTCTAATGAGGCAATTAGTTATTTGTGCTAATTATTACGTAGAACTTCACTTCTTATTAAACAAACACAGTTACTTCCCTCAACTATTCAGATAATTTTTCATACTGACATATTTTAAAGGAGATAATTCGTTAACAGTTGATGAGAAACGGAACAGAGGTATCTATAAGACTGCAGTGTTGGTATGTCAGCTAGTATGTGAGCAGCTGATACAAATCATAAACTTCTAAATGGTAAATTTAGTTGAAAATATAATACTTTTTAAAACTAATTTCAGAAGAAATGAAGTTCGTATGCGAGAACAGAGAAACATCTGGAAGCTATCTAAATTCCATTTTAAGAACAGAGAGTGAAATTTTTTTTTACATCTCAGAGTTTATAACCTGCTGAAAACGATGTATTGCGTGTAATATTAAAATTCATAATTTTAATTATCAAGCCCCTTAATTTTTAGTCAAAAGGGGCTTTGTCCCTGAGGGACTATTGTTTTCGTTTTGGCATTTTACGTTAAAAGGCTGTATCACTTTTCACACTGTTGCCACCAAATATTATCGTTCTGTATTATATTTGAAGAAATTAAATAACGAAGAATCTGCATAAATGTATGTATGTTTCTCACATTGTGATAAAACAACGGTACCTAGAGCCATCCAATTTTGAATGACGTAATCCTACTGCAAATATGGGTATATGGAAGCACAAATTTGGAATATGTTTTATTATCGATTTCATATTTTGTAAAACGTTAATGAATTTCCGATTAACAAACTCAAGGATTTCAAAGCGAGCAATGGCAACGTTGTAAAAAATAAATAAATAAATAAATAAAAATAAATAAAAAATAATAAAATAATAATAAAAAAAAAGTCTCCAGCGCGTGGCACTGTGTATCAGAAATTCACAGCTCAATTTAAAATTATTTTTGGATATTGCTCTTGAACTGAATTTTATGGTTTAAATGCTAAGAACATGATATTTAATAAATAAAGGTAACACACAAAATGTTAAGAAAACGCCCCTTTGGACGTAGTTTAAAATCTGAAGCGTTTCAGATTTTTTTCTTTTTTTAAAACTAAGTACGTCTTCTCTTTACCCAATTCCGTTATTCTAAAAGATAGTGCCTTCATTTAATTAGTGGCCTCCATTTCTCCCTTTGAAGAACATCAGATTGCCTTCCTAACGCATTTATTAGAATTCCTTTTACGGATATCGAAATGCAAGGACCCGAAACTCCAATTTGACGTAATGATTACGTCATCAGTAGCTGAAAACATAACGCAATGTTAAGATCTCCAGTTGAGAATAAAGGAATAACTCCAAAATTTCCTTTTTAAAACAATTTTCATCCTCTCCATTTAACTGTAGATTTATTAAATTGTGTTTAATTTACACAAAAATGACTAGTGTTCGTGAAGTTTAATCATGCAGAACACCAACAGCTGCTAAGTCGACAGATTGATATAGCTTGTCATCAATCTCAGTCGAAGAAGCTACAGAAGCCCAGAAGGATGGCAATTTCTATGTAATAATTGGCTTTAAATCTAAGAGTTTCGTACCAACGTATCTTTTAGAGAACAAGCGAAGCCTCTTTGTCGCAGAATTTCTTTTACAGTTTACTACCTAGTCAGTCTCTGACTAAGAAAAATCAAAAGCGGTGCTTTTATTTTCGGGAAATAGCAAGTTCCTAAGTTGATGTATACTTACGTGGCGGTTTGCTAATGGTTGGCAAAACTGAATTGCAAAGCATTCATTACTCATTATTCTATTTTTATTGGTTAGCTTGCAGTTTATATTATTGAAAACATATTGTATTCTAATTTTGAGCCCATTTTGCCTATTCTGCTCATACGAAAAAATATGGAATGTTAAGTGAGAAAAACATTTCTTATACATCTTGCTTTTTGAGTTGAACCGAGGATCAAGTGTAGGAGTGACGAAAACAATGTTCTGTGTACGGGACCTAATGTCATTGCTGAAAGTATGGAAAGGAAATTGTTCTTTCGGTTTTAAGGAAAGCGATTTGATTTATCTGATAACCCACGTTAAGGAAGATCGTGAGATTTTGACAAAGACTGCTTAAACCGGTAGCTTCATGATATTCTCCTTGAAAAAAAGAGAGGGAAAATTGGCATAACTTACAGAATGCGGTTGTTCACTTGCAGTCGATGGGCAAAGTTTAACTCATAGGGAAACGCTAGGAATTTCTGTACAGACGCATAGCAGGTATTTAAAAAAAAAAAAAAAAAAAAAAAAAAAAAATTACGTTAGCAGGCAGGTGAAAGGAACTGCTTAGTATTACTAAGGATATATTCTTAAAAATATTCTTAAATTCTTAATATATTTACACAAATCACTTCAAGCAAACTTACATCTCTTGATTGGCTTAACTCCCTAAATAATTGATCGTTAAAATTAAAACTTGAATTGCATACCTTTAGGATTTCTAATTTTTAATTTAATTTTTTCTAGATTTATTTATTTTTATTTATTTTAATGTTTGCAAAAAAAAAATTAATATAACAAAGATAGCAGCTTGGCACTCAACTTTATCTACATAAGCGCTATCTATATAATTAATTTGAAGAACACACTTACTTCTCTTTAAAAACACTTTTGCGGACCACAACGCTCATATAGTAGGTAAGTTAGAATTAACACTTACTATTTACTTCCTTTAAGTATTTTTAAAAAATTTTTTTATGTAGTATTTAAGTATTTTCTAGATATGTAATTATTTTTTAAGTATATATTTGTTTTTTAAAAATTGTGAATTAGTTCTTTTTGTCTTATTGGTTTATATGGATTATGTCTAGTTCTTTTTGTTTCTTTTTTTGATATGCATATTCGTGTCGGGGAGGTTTCTGTAGAAAAGAGATTCTAAAATATATTGGTTTCTAAATTATTTTTTTATAAAAATTAATTTTTAAAAAAATTTAATTAAAAAAATTTAATTTAATACTTGACTTTACTTGCTTGTTTATCAAAAGAATTCTTTATTTTTTTTTTCTTTTAGAACTTTAATTCTTAAATGCTAATTTATAAGGGGTACCACTTTATTGGTATTTCTTTTTGGACATTCTTCACTTTTTACTTTTTGGTTTGGACTTTTACCCATGCCTACATGAATGACGAAACACGAATTGAATGATTGGAGAGTTAGGTTTGGAGGCAACTTCCCCTTGATAAGTCTGTCTCCTGCCTGCTCAACAGTCATTCACTTATGCATTAAAAAAAAAAAAAAAAAAAAAAAAAAAAAAAAAAAAAAAAAAAAAAATGTTTGAATTAATTTTTAATTTGCTAAATTATTGAATTTATTTTCATGGATTGTTTTTGCACTGATTTGCTTATACTTCTTCAATTTAAATGATATTGTAGATTAGTTCGAGAATTAAATCTTTTATATGTTTGCACATTTTTTAAATATTTTTTTAAAAATATTTTGGCTTTAATTTTGCTTTTTTACTTTTATACGTGTTTGTTAAAATTTAAATTTAAATTTGATTAAATTTAAACTTAAATTCTTAACCATATTCTTAAAAATGTGAAAGTTAAAAATAAAATTTACAAGTAAACTTCGCCGTTTCAGGTTTTAAGCAACTTAATACAAATGAAGTAAAGTCGTCAGAGGGTTGATGTCATAGGTGTATTGTAATAACTAATACATTACTGTCACGATTGCTTTTCGATTGAGAAATTTTCAATAAGTGTGCTAGCTCAGACTAAATTTTAGCTAATAACGAAGCACTGATCAAATTCTAAGGATGTCTAAAGCAAGTATCGTTAACAGTTGAGACGGAGGTTGAAAAAAGCGAGTTCTCATTTTTCTTTACAGAAACGCAGTATCGTCCAGATCAAAGAAGTTGGAT